TCTTTTTTTTTCTTTTTATTGTTATGTTTTACACATGTTAGTATTTTTCTTTTCTTTTTTTTTTATTGTATTTTCTTTTGCAAGAGTGCTTTGTGTACAAATTTGTTCCCACAAAAAAGCTGTCATTAATAACTCATGGTACATTTTTCTCTTTATCAAAAGTCAAATCGATCATTATTTATCAGAAAAAGTCAGAGCGATTTTTCTCCTCCAGATGATTTTTACTGTAAATTTTATCTTAATTCTTCTCACCCAAATGGAATTTTGAAGACTTCAAAAATTTGTGATCAAACTTGAGAACAATCATACGATTCCAGGTTCTACATTATTTTTCTACTTTCTTCTCTTTTTTTTCTTTAAATTTATATGTCATGTTGTTGTCCGTGGTTATTGTAAATAATCGTTTATAATACGTTTATTTGTGTGTGTGTGTGTGTATATACATATATATATATATATATAATGTTTTTCTTTTCCTTTATTATCCGTTTCTTCTTTATGTGAAACTGTAGACTTTGTATCGAAAATGTTACTTATAACAACCATAAAGCTGCCATTAATTAATTTTCTCTTTCTCAAAGTCAAACTCATGATTTTTCTCCGGTACAAAATTAGTCTATTTAATCTATTTTTACTTTTCCTTTATTTACTGTACTCAATTTCCCTAATTCCGCCAATACTATAATATTATTTTATGTTAAATTTAACAAATACAATGCTTTTAGTAAATTTGGCACTAAATATAGCAATTAATACCAAATTTTAATATTTGATCACTATTGGTTGGTGTATTAACTTTTTCATTTGATAATTACAACATTATGATATTTAAATTATTCTAATATTGACAAGTGAGGGTAGCTCAATTGGTTGTAAACCCTTACATTTCAACTATAGATTGAAGATTTGAGTCACTCTCTGCCCCACTTAATAGTGATCGCATTCCTTCTCCTCTTGTATCAAAAAAAAAAATTAAAATAGTGTTATATTTTGAGCACAAGAATAACATTTGTAATAACATTATGCATTGGTTATTATTTCGGAGGTCCAATGCAAATACAAATATCAATGTTATATTTAGTATCAAAAAATGAAATTAAAATAACATATTTGATGAATTTTTGTATTTGCACTTTAATGCACAATGATATATTTACTTCTTCTCATAATCATTAAGTTTTGAAATTTGAAAAAATAAACTTTTTGATTTATAAGTAATTGGAAAATGCCATTATTGTAATATTGATTGGATGAAATAGAAAACACCTCAACGAATAGCATTCAAAAACTAAAATTTAAGATAGGTTATACTTAATGATAAATTGTGACCAAATATAGCATATGTCAAATTTAGTTTAGAAGATAACATTACATTGAAAAACGATTTTCTATTCCAAACGTTATTTTGTATTGAAACATAAATTTAACATTGCATTGGAGATTACATAAAATAACAAAACAAATATAATATTTTTACCCTTTTTAGTGATAAAGTTGATATTAATATAGGTATTTTTGTATTGAAGATGCTCTTACTCCCACTCAAAAGCAATCTTGAAGACTTTTCGAAAATTACTAAACAAAACTCAGAAGTCCGCCTAAGTTCTACGAGCTTTAATTTTTTTTTTTCCTTCTCTCTATCTTTAAAATTCATACCGTGATTTTATTTATTTTTGATGTTATCGTGGTTAGAAGGTCATATATATATGTATTTTTTTTTTTTCAAATGTCGTCATACATACACACACATATATATATATATATATATATATGTGTGTGTGTGTGTTTAGTTTTTTGCCTAAGGTATTTGAAAGTTAAAAAGAACATGTTGATTAGCCCCCGCAGAGGCCTAGAATTTCGGTACGTGTTCAGTTGGTTTGGGTGGTGTAAGGTGTTGCCTTTAGCTGGATGGAGTGAGATCAGTTAGTCAGTCGCTCAATCTTTATCCCTTTCGCTTCCAATTTCCATCACCACACTGTCCCATAAAGTTCAATATGATGGGTCGATGCGCGCATTTCATTTCTAAATTTCCTTTCCACTGCCTTAATACATATTTATATATATACACGCACATAGAGTTTTCACCGTATTTATTTACTTTTTTAACCGTTGAATTTGGATTGAAAATTATCAATATTATATTAATTTGATGTGATTTTAACTGGATTTAATGGTCAGAAATTAATACTTTAAGTAGAGAGGTCTATCCAAAAAAGTTTCATATATATAAACCGAAAAATTCTTTTGATTTTCCTAATTAATTTCATGCCCATCTTAATTTGTGGTCAACAAAAGTTTATTATTCAAGATAAGTTGGTCGAAAATTTTATTTGAAAAGAAAAAAAATTGATGCTCAATATTAAAAGTGATCACGAGATCAAGTTTTTATGAATTAGGAATTTATATAACAGCCTGCTTGCGGTTTTTTTTTTTTTTTTTGGTTTGGAATTTATTGCTGCACTGAAAGCAGACTGCGCTCATTGCTTTGTAACTCAAATGAAAAAGTACAACTAGTCCTTTCTTTGCTCAAGCCAGTACTAGATACTTATTTTTTCTTTTGCTTCTAAAGAAACAAGTAGTAGCACTAGGTGTTGCTGCATGCACTAGGTGTTGCTGCATATGGTTTTTTAAGTTCTTTTTTTTTTTGTTTCTTTTTGGGTCAACTTATAACACATTTCATCAAATATTTGCAAAAATTACAAAGATTTCAACGAGCCTTTGAGAAAAAAAATCATAAATTCTAATTTCTTTAAATTAAGGATAAAAGCGGCACGACCCATTTTTTCCCGCATTTTTTATTATTAATTAATTTCCTCTAGATTTGAACCAAGGACTCAGATTTAAAAAAACAACATACTGATAGAGAGGTCCTATTAAAAAAAGTTTGTTATACTAAAACAGCACTAATATTTTATGTTTTCAACATGTGGTAGAGGATCTTCATGTTATACTGAGAAAGTCAAAAATCAGTATTATAATTTGAGAACTAAAAACATAATATGACCACGAGTTTCTGGATTTCTTTCCTAATTGAATGAATAAGTGCCTATTATGGCATGAATAATTAGTTCATCATGATTCATGAAGTTTTTCAAATTATGTAGTATCGTATAGCTCATGATTTTCTTTAAAAGTTTCTTTGTCTAGGATAAAACCATTGGAGCAACTTGATCTTAAAACAAAGTTATTCAATTTGTATTTTCTATCATCAATCATGCATACCGAAAAAACGGACAATAATTATTTGAAACTACTAAATTATAAGGTCATATATTTTGTCAAGAAAATAATTCGAGAAATTGTTTTACTATTGTAGAAAAAATCCTCTATGTACTACAATATTTTCCATTAAAAAGGATGTCGAAGACTATATCTGAGATACGTTTTGCTTCAAAACCAACGAAGTAAAAAATTTTCTCAAGTATTTTGTTAAGAGAAAATTTGAAACTTTGGACAATATCAAGACACACTTCGGAGTTGCCATATATATAGAATTTTTTTAATATATGTATACATATATATATATATATATATATAGAGAGAGAGAGAGAGAGAGAGAGAGTTTTGGATGTTATAAGGTGAGCATATTAGAGACCTTTGAGCTCAAAAAAAAAAAAAAAAAAATTAACCCGTTAATTATGGCAACGCTCTTTTTTTAATTCTTTTGATTGTACTTGTATCACTGTACTGATATTGGAATCCCATTGTACGTAATGTACAAGCTTGTCCTTATGAGCATTACAGTTGTATCTATGACTATAACCGTAAGAATTACAGAAGAAAAAAAGATACTAAAAAATCCCTAAAAAAAAAAAATACTAAAAGATATCTACAATTTTACTTACTGTACACGGGATATGGCACAGTTAATATATCACTTATAATGTTGGCTAGTTTAGTTGCTTTTGATCAACTTATACACATGCTTCTAAATTGTTGCAATTTTTTTCTACTGAATTTAGAACTTTATGATATGTGTACTTGTATTGTATATTGGTAATGTGTTAGTATACAACTATTCCGAATGTGAACGAGATCCTCGATTGATCGTATGGTAAGTACAAATGTGTCTACGGACTGTCAGAAGTGGCAGTGTTAGTCGACTCAGGTTGTCCAGGCATCAACCAGGTCAACTTCTGCCTTCGTTTTTTTTTTTTTTTTTTTTTTTTTTTTTTTTTTTCTTTTTTTTTTTTTTTTTTTTTTTTTTTTTTTTTTTTTTTCTTCCGGCCCGTCTGACCAGACAAAGATGCAAAGTTTGGTTTTCTCTTTGATTTTCTTTTGACTTGTTTCTAACTTGGAAAGTAGTCTCTCTCTCTCTCTCTCTCTCTCTCTCTCTCTTCTCTCTCTCTCTCTCTCTCTCTCTCTCTCTCTCTCTCTCTCTCTCTCTCTCTCTCTGTATTTCAGGTGGTCGTACTCATATATGCACCTCATAGCTCTCTTGATGTAATATATATAATATATATATTAGACAGTTGATATATATATATATATATATGTGTGTGTGTGTGGGCCAGTACAAGAGCCATATATTGGAGACACAGACGGTACTAAATTTTTAAACAAACCGACAAGCCACGTGACAGAAAGATATAATTGATTATTGTTCATGATCAATTTGGTCTTCTTATTAGACTATTTAAAAGGAAAAAGAAAACAAAGGTGTAAAATTATAGTTGCAGTTAGAAAAGGAGATATTATGATATCCATCCATGATTAATAATTTGCTAAGGCCTTCTAGATAGAGAATTCAAAAATTAATGGTAGACATCGTGATTAAGCAAAGAAAAAAAAACATGGTTGACAATGCCACACCATCCGAACCTCCTTAGTCATTTTTTTATTTTTATTTTTTTACTCGTGTAACATGTAAAAAGGCAATAACACATTAAATTATCACAGAGGTACACTTGATATTATATATAACTACCTTGGTAATTATATCTCTGACTTTGAACAAGCTACAAATGACAATAATTTTTTTTTTTTTATTATGTGTTGGGTTGTTCTGTTATAACGATGCGTTTGAAACGTGGCATATCGGGTTGGATGATGACAACGACGACGATGACCTGGCAAAAGTACTCCACAGCTCCATCTCGTTGCTGTAGTCCTGAGTGTGGGTGGCATGGTAAGGCTTGTTGGATGAAGATGATGATGATCGGATGGCCGCGGACATTTGCAGATGATCGTCATGATTATCATGATCATCATCATGATTATTACTAGTACTGCAGTAATTCATGGCGGGTTGAGTAGCGAAACAGACTAATTGTCTAGAAGCCTGATCGGTACTTAGGCCATTCAACTGGGAAGCCACAAGGCGATCAAGAGTTGCCCAGTTGGTGATCATCTCCGTCTGATGATGATCATGATTATGATTAGAGAATCCAAAGTTATTGGGATCCGAGCCTTGCAAGGGTTGGTAACAGTTTTGGCTGCTTGTGGAGTTTGGGCTATCGAGGCTCGGAAGTTTCAGGAATCTTTCATTGTCATTATAAACAGTAGTAAAAGTAGTACTACTGTTCATGTGCTTGTTCATGTCCGTACTACTGTTGAAGGACTGAAAAATTCTTGTGTTGTGGTGGTTGTTATTGTATTTGATCTCTTCCTTGCAATTATCAGCCCTTCGTCCCACGTACTGAAATATCTGCTCCAGAGCTCCTTCTTCGTTCATCTGATTATCCGAATCGAACATCATCATCTGGTCACTGTTGCAGCTCCTTGTGTCCGTACTAATCGTGACGGACGACATTACAGGACTGTCTAGGGTTTTGTGATGGTTCTTCTTCTTGAATATTCGACAAACCACCCACCCTTCTTCTTGTGTTGTTTCCACCTGCATAACCACCGAGGACTGGTATTGTATTTATGTAAATGTCAGTATTTTTTATGACATGAAAGAAAGAAAGAAAGAAAACTGTATATAGCGTCATGATATGTGTTTGAAGAAAACAACTTAAGGCTTACATTGGTACTGTCGATTGTATTGTCGTCGAGTCTGTACTCGTGCATAATCCAGTCGGACTTTTGTCCGTGGGGAGCTCGGCCTTTGTAGAAGACAAGAGTCTTTCTCATTCCAATCCTTTTGCCGTTGCTGTATATCACTTTGTCACGGCCGGTGGCCTTCCAGAACCCGGCAGCTGTGGCGCGGTTTGTGCGAGTTCCAGTTGGGTATTTCTTGTCCTTGTGGCTGAAGAAGTACCAATCGTTTTGTGGAGTGGTTCCGATTCTACACTTCTCTGAAGAAATTTATAAAAAATAATGGAGTTAGGTCAAATGAACGTATTGATGCACATGAATTAAACCGAAACTTCTGGACTAGAATATTGACACTTCTCCGAAAATTTTAGCCCTCGGTGAACTACCAACTTTATTGAAATGAAAGAAAAACGTTTAAAAAAATTACAAAGTTTTGAAAAAGAAGAGATGTACGGTCATGGTTTTTTCTTACCTTGGATATCCCATGGCTCAAGCTTGTTAAGATCGACATCGCGAATCACATCGAGATCGATCCTTTGGTTGGAGACCTTCTTCTTCAAGTAGTAATGAAGAAGTTCCTCCTCGGTTGGATGGAATCGGAAGCCAGGAGGGACTTGAGACTGCCCGTTCACAGATATACTCATGTTGCTTTCGGGCATTTGATTGATGATAGACTACTACTTACTATTGTAGGAAAAGCTTTTTGTCTCACAAGAAAAAAAATATATAGGCTGGTTTTAACAAAAAGTTATTGTGATGATCAATTCCCAGAATCCAAACAAAGTAAGATGATGTGCATATATGCCTCCTAGAAAAGTACAAGAGAGAGATGATCAGAAAGAAAGAAAAGGAAAGTAAGTAAGAGAGAACCAAGTTATAAGTTGGTGATGTATATATCAAACTGAGTATGTGAAGTAGGCCTATATATATGTGTGTGTGAGTTGCGGGTCACATAAACGGCCAAAATACATGAAAATAAAATAAAGCTTTTAAATGTTAAGGGACACAATTTATATGGAAAAAATATGTATATTTCTAATGTGGGGTTATTTGTTTGAGAAGAGCCACCTACCTGCAAAGATGGAGAAAGACAGAGGTTGATTGGTGTCATTGGTAAATGGTATTATTGTGGGGTCAATATATAGATGTGGCTATCAATAAAGGGTCTCAAAAGGGACGTTTTTGGGCAACTAAAGAGAAGTGTAAGAGCGCAGGCTAACATCTATAACTAAGACACTCGACCTTAAATTGAAACCTATTGATCTCATTCTCCCCCGGAAAAGCACATCTTAAGTCTTAATTAAACAACCGTGGACCAATTTCTCTCTCTCTCTCTCTCTCTCTCTCTCTCTCTCTCTCTCTCTCTCTCTCATTTTCTCTTTCTCTCTCTTTCACCGCTTCTGCAACCACCGCAAGAAAAAGTTTGAAGAAAAAAAAAATTGGAAAAGAAAAAAACGTATGGTGGGGGCTGGATTAATGTGTGCTTTCTTTGTGGCCTTTAGATATATGATGAGATTTAAAAGAGAAAATATTAATGTGTTGTATACATAGGGGAGTGACATTGGGCTTTTTACCCTTTGATTATTGCTTTATGGCTTACAGGCGACGCCCATTTGCAATCATACCTTTTTAGACTTCCTTGTTTCCTCTTCTCTCTCTCTCTCTCTCAACACAATAATAATATTAATATGCATAAAAGTGATATATCTTTTTTCGTTTTGTTTCTTTCTTTTCCTTTTCTCTGCAGATTAGATTATTTACTTTCGAGTCCCGCATTTTTTTTTTCAAGTTTATGATCACAATAGCTCGTCAAAATTTCCCCGTTTATCTTTTGTTTTATTTTATTTCTCTGATTTTCTTATCTCGTTGCAAAACGATTACCTTCCTATCGAGGTTTTATATATTATACGTTTTATTATATACATATTAGATGTTATATGTAGCAAGAATTTTTTTTTTTTAATTTAGCAAAGAAAAAGTACATTACATTTATGTATAAAAAAGAATAGAAATACTTTTTATTCAAGGGTAATATACCCCCACCCCAGCCGCTGCGCGCCTCTTTGTAGCAGTGTGTGATATACGCGGATAACCACAATACACGCCAGCTCAATGACCTGTAGATTGTAGTTCTATAATCCTCAAACAAAACTAGCTAGCCACCAATAGATAGTAATAATTGGCTGATGAAGAATGGCATTAATAGTAACCAACGTATATCAAGTTAATGATTATATAAGTAGATCCTCAAAGAACGTTTTTTTTTTTTTTTTTTTTAAAGAATCATTTTGAATGAAAAGTTGAATATACATATATATATACATATGTATGTAGCTGCTAAAATTTGTATGCCTCAAAGCAAGAAAACTTGTAAAATTAACTATAAGTAGTTGATCACGAGCAATTGCTATTTATTTTTTTTATTTTTTTATTTTTTTTGAAAAACAAATGGTATATCTAACTTAACTTAGTCAAAAGTAAAAAGCGATGGATAAATGAGTAGTAGTACTAATATGTTGACATTCAAAACGGTAATTTTATTTTCATGAAACTATATAAGATTTTGACACTAAATTTGCATTTGATGCAATATGTTTCAAGGCGTCTCCATACTTCCTTGTGTTTGAAGGACAAATTTGTACGTGACATGTTTCACCTGAAAAAATAGCTCTCTGTTTGAAGTATTTATAGACAGATGATCACAGATCACATTAAGCATCAAACGACGAACCACTTTGTCACACTCCAGTTCTATTTTTTTTTTTTTTTCATTTTTATTTTCTCTCAAAACACAGTGCAAGTCTCATATAAAGACAAAATTTTGAGCTTTTAATTATTTGGCTAAGAAAAAAAAGTACCAAAAAAAATATTCTCACATATGTGTGTGCATGTGTGAAGCGTGTCTGTCAGTGGACACAGTTTTTCAGTGGGGAAGCCAATACGTAGTGACAACTGATAAGTATTAGTCTATAAACAAGCCAAGAAAGAAAAGAAAAAGAAAAACAAGAAGAAAAAGACGTTCTCGAACTCAAATTCGTTCTAATGGAATCTTTGACTGACGCAATTAAAGCTGATCAATATATAAAGATTTATTGAGAAAATTTCGTATCATATATAAGATTTACATCACGTTATACAACGCCGTGTTTGGTTATGAATTCTATACATTAACTAGGATAAGAATCTACGATAAGAAGATTATTTGAATATAAAAGGAAAAAAAAAAAAGGGATTTATTTTGTCGGAATTGGAGGGGGAAAATATTCTTTGCACATTGGCATTGACTCGTGACGTGAATGGAGGTGGCCGGGGATGGGTTAGTTAAAATTAACTTGAATTAGAGCTTTGTCCAACTAAATAAACTAGGGTTAACAACCTAGCTTCCCGTTTTCTTAAGAGTACTGGTTCTAGTCTTCTCATGATTCCACACCTCTCTTAATTCTAGGGGTCGCAATAGGTCGTATTCGTGTTAACCCGTTTATTAATCGTGTCAGAAAATATCAATCTAAACACAACATGTTTATTAAACGTGTCAAAAATATCAACTCAAACACGACCCATTTATTAATTGTGTTAATTGTGTCAACCCTTTTTTTTTTTTTTTTCATTTTTCTTTTCTCTCAAAACACAGTGCAAGTCTCATATAAAGACAAAATTTTGAGCTTTTAATTATTCGGCTAAGAAAAAAAAGTACCAAAGAAAATATTTTCACATATGTGTGTGCATGTGTGAAGTGTGTCTGTCAGTGGACACAGTTTTTCGGTGGGGAAGCCAATACGTAGTGACAACTGATAAGTATTAGTCTATAAACAAGCCAAGAAAGAAAAGAAAAAGAAAAACAAGAAGAAAAAGACGTTCTCGAACTCAAATTCGTTCTAATGGAATCTTTGACTGACGCAATTAAAGCTGATCAATATATAAAGATTTATTGAGAAAATTTCGTATCATATATAAGATTTACATCACGTTATACAACGCCGTGTTTGGTTATGAATTCTATACATTAACTAGGATAAGAATCTACGATAAGAAGATTATTTGAATATAAAAGGAAAAAAAAAAGGATTTATTTTGTCGGAATTGGAGGGGGAAAATATTCTTTGCACATTGGCATTGACTCGTGATGTGAATGGAGGTGGCCGGGGACGGGTTAGTTAAAATTAACTTGAATTAGAGCTTTGTCCAACTAAATAAACTAGGGTTAACAACCTAGCTTCCCGTTTTCTTAAGAGTACTGGTTCTAGTCTTCTCATGATTCCACACCTCTCTTAATTCTAGGGGTCGCAATAGGTCGTATTCGTGTTAACCTGTTTATTAATCGTGTCAGAAAATATTAATCTAAACACAACATGTTTATTAAACGTGTTAAAAATATCAACTCAAACACGACTCATTTATTAATTGTGTTAATTGTGTCAACATGTATAACACATTTAAATTAATATACTGAATAAATAACTAATATAATAATGACTTATTTAACACAGTCATGACAGGTTTAACATGTTTATTGGTCAATTTATCTTTTCCTTTAAGAAAAAATAAATGAATTTTACCTACAAATTTTAAAATTCACATTATTTGTATTTAATATGTCGTATAAACTTTCATGTTACATCACATATCATTAGATTGCAAATAATACATATAGTTAATCGTGTCAATTCATGTTAGGAAGTCAACCCTAACCCAACTCATTTATTAATCGTGTTAATCGTATTAACCCGATTATGACCCAAACTCATTTATAATAAACCCAAACCCGTTAACTTCGTACGGGTTTTGAGTCGTATCGTCGTGTCGCTACCTGGATTGTCAGGCCTACGTAATTCATTGTATTATTAACAACATCCATAGTGAAATTGCAATTAAAAAATCATAAAATCACATTTTAGTACTAATTAAAGTAACAGGAAAAAAAAAAAAAAAAACTCATCACGTGATCTCTTGTTCAAAATGAAGAAGTTTCAACCCAAAACATCTCAATTAAACAATATTGTTGGTTGTGGGGTATTTTAGGAACTTAAAAAGCCTTCTCAAAGGGTTACCCGTTGCTAACATCCGGATCAAATTTGCATTTGAAGCGGAATTGCGTGGCACTATTGAGGCAGTTGATATAAGAATAATCTGTTAAAACAATAAGAATAAACGTTTGATACGAGAGTTACAGTACATACAAGTACATCCATTGTTTCCGTGCTGAAAACTTTGTCCTTAATTAAGTCCTATCCTTTATAGCTCGTGTTGGCTACTGACAGATATCTCATTAATTTGCGGAGAATTACGTATGAAGTTTGTCCTATATATTTATAGAGAGATTAATCAAGTGGTTGATAGAGAAAGAAGTAGAGATAGTGGTTTTAAGGCTTTTGAATAAATTGGCGAATTTAGAAAGATGATATATAAGTGAAACCGGTATGTTTATTAATTTTGGTTTTTTTTTTTTTTTTTTTTTTTTTTTTTTTTTTTTTTTTTTTTTGCCTTCTTTGTAGGGTTGTTGCTTACTGTATTTTTCTTTTTTGGTTTGCCAATATTGTACTAATTAGATTCTAAACTTCTGTATTTTTGTTTGTTTTTCTGTGTTTTTGTTTGCTTAATGGGTGCCAACCTAATTGATAATCTCTTTAATCTCAGTTTCTATATCTCCATTTATTTAAAA